CTTGGACCACGAGCAGCCGACGGAAACAATTCTCGTGGGCAGACGATACGCAGGGTATGTATTGAAGCTATCACACAGGCCACAGCAGCAGCTAAGACCAATCGCGCCTTACGCACTAAGACGACTATTACTGGTCAGCGCGATTATGAGGAAAGAGACTTGTTGTCGATTACCATCGCCCTACGACCGCGAAGGATGATTGGGGAAGCTGGAATGGCCTTTCCCCAGTTGGAAAGAATGATCCCGAAAAGGGGTCAGGTCATCATCCGAGTGGGCAATCGAGACGTTCAAGTACAATACGGCGAGGCAAGGCATCTGTCAAACATTGAAGCACTCATAGCCCAAGAGATTGGCTCCGACAGCACTGCACTACGCACAGTGTCGTAGCCAGCCTATCAGCGGGGAGACCTGCTTTGACCTTTGGCTATGTGCCGACCAAGCAAGGGGCGCTTCAGATGACGACCGCAAGCCGTGTATCTCCTAAGGTACACTTGGCTCTACAGTACCTTGTTAGAAATTTCTTTCGCATTGAGAATGTCGTTCCTGTCAGGCTAGCCATGGGTATCCCTGAGCTGCCTCCGGTTACTTATGCCGACAGCTGCGCATTGGTCCATTATGACAACGACGTGGATCCAGGATTTCATTATTATGAAGTAGAATGTACTGCTCTGAATACACACGACAGAATTGGATCAGCATTTTCACGAATTATCAAATGCTTGAAGTCCACTAAACCTCAGGCAGGTTTTGATCAGGACATGTCAGAATTTGAGGAATTGGCAGATACACAGACAGCGGGTGGAACCACAAGAGAAGCCTCAGAAGCCGAACCATCACATGATGACGGACGGCTCTCTACGATCTACGAAGAATCAGAGGCTGATCTTGAGTCGCATGTTATGGAGGTGTGGCATGCAGAACTACAAGAGGAAAGGGAACTGTTTGAGGCAACTCCACCAGAGGACCTGTTCGCCATGCCTACACACATTTCCAGATCAAAGTGTGCTGATCACTGTAGCTGATGAACAGCGGGGACACCTGCCGAAGTGGGGGCGCACTCGCGACTCCGACACCGAGGAGACGTACTACGCCCCCATGTGTGCACCATGGTCGAAGACGACAGCTACGGACTCGACTCAGACGAAAATGGTCGATATGTCGAACTATGCTTTACGGCAGAAGCGTCGAAGGTAGTCTTGTCCGAGCAACAACACATGATATAAGATGCCGGCCGGGTGACCACTATGCGGGTATACGTAGCCGCCGCTGCAAAGCGAGCTGTGGTCGTCAAGGAAGACGACCTCTTCACTGAAGTTGACATTCAGGCGAATCCCGGTAAAATATCGAAGGCCCTCTACACTGAACTCCAGGCATGGTTCGACAGAAAATGGTTTAAGACGCAGGAGTTAGCAAAATAGTCGAACATCATGTCCTCGAGATACGTGAACGCATGGAAGTTCGTGAAGAACGAGAAGGGCGAGATGGAACGTACCATCCGACTACGCTTGGTTCTCCGAGGTTTCATGGATTTTGAAGCCTTCGACGTAGAAACATTTTCGGGAACTGAGAGACGGTCAAGCCAGAGGTTGCTCGCAAGCACGGCAGCGCGCAAGAAGCAGTGGACCATTGCTTCCTTCGACATCAACATGGCCTTCCTGAAGGGATTGACCTATCGGGAACTTGCTGAGGCTACTGGTGAAAATGAACGTGTGGTGTGTTTTACTTTGCCGCCTGGATCGGCCACAGCGCTCCGAACTCTCCCAGGATTCGAGCACTACGACGAGTCAAAGCACTGTCTACAGTGCTTGAAATCAGGCACAGGCACCGAAGACGCTCCACGGGCTCTCTCACTTAAGCTCAGGAGGACCACCAGTGGATGCGGTCTCCGACCCACGTCCTACGACGAGGAGTTCGAGACGAGCAACAATTTGTTCACGGCGAAGCACGTTGATGACATCAATATGGCCGGAAAACACCATAGACAAAAAAATGTCAAATGCATTGAAGATACTTTTTGTAAGTGCAAAATCAACTAGCACACGTATACCAATTGTGCTGTGAGATACACGAAGGACGGGGACGGCAATGTCATTTTGGATCAAGATGAATATATCAGACAGTTCCGCCCCATACAACATCCCGAACTAACTGGCGCCGACGCTGACGCTCGGGCAACCAAGATGGCGGCAGACATGTTCGTCAGCCTCAGGGGTGCGCTGGCATATGCACTAATCACTTAGGCGTGGTTGATGGAGCATGTTGCATCTCTACAGCGCGTCCAAGAACCGACCGACATTCAAGTGCGACGACTGAACGCGATCACCAGAAAGCTACAGGCCTGCCCGAAGAAGATCGTCTACCAGGCGACGAATCCTACGGGCGACGTCGACCTACATAGCGCCTCAGAATATCGACGCCTGAGTGGAGACGCCGATGACGACGTCAAAGGCTATGGTATTCGCGGGGCAAACCTGCTACGACGTAGAAGCACGTCATCCGGTAAACCTGCCCTTCACTTGATTGATGCGCATTGCAAGTCTCACCGTCTGCAGGCCCGCTCGAGCTATTCAGCAGAGACACTGGCAGCAGCCCATAATTTGGAGGACTGTTATCCCACGATTGTGACTCTACACGAGCTCCACGTGGGGCCGCTCGCGCCCACTCAGTTGAAAGATGTACATGAGTTGGGTGGCCTGAGCATCAAGGTCATTTTGCCAATCGGTGCTGAGTATGTTTGTAAGTCCTTGTCAAGCAAAGACTTGAAGAAGCCGACTGCGCGTGCCCTTTTAGGACACATCAGTTGGATACGACATATGATTGATGTAGCGTGGAATCGTGCACAGCATTCAGTGGTGCGACACCCGCGATATGACTGCGGATGGCCACGCCGAAGGAAGATTCGACAGAGAAATGCTCCTGCAAGTCATGGGAGGTATACAAGCCTCCAAACATGACCTGAAGAGAGATACTTCATATCGGGCCGGCCAGGCATCAAGTTCTGACGCCGCCTGATGAGTACGTCACGTACATGCGAGGCAACTTGCTAGCGGGCCCACTTGTTTTAACTCGGTTCCTTTTCTGTCCTTGTGTATGCTGGCTGATATGCCTGCTGTCTAGGGGCCACGGGCTCACACTTCGTCTCCCTCCCCCCCCGCTTCTAAAGCAAGCAGATGGACGTGAGGAGTGGCCGGCCGCCCAAATATGGCTGTGCCTCACTGCTAGGCACACAATCGCTATCGAGACCAAAAGGATCTTTCTATTGCTTGAGATGGCATCTCTTCTCATATCGGGACTATCGTTACTACGGTACAACAGAGCGGGAGCTTGGCTTCGCCTGAGGCGAAGCTGTTGGCTGGGCCTTCCAGCCCCCTTCAAGCTTGCCTTAGTATTCTTCGAAGTTTTCGTGGAGGCCTCTTGGGCCTTCTTGGAGGCCTCCTGGACCATTTTTGGCGATCTTGAGGCCATCTTGGGCCATCTTGGGATCATCTCGGCCCGTGTTGGAGTGGAAAAGTCTTGGGACCGTCTTCGAGGCCTTTTTGCCGTCTCGTCGGCATCTGAGCGGCCAGCTTGAGCCATCTTAGCCGTCTTGGGGCGATTCGTTTAGGACGTTCAAGTCTTTACGCGTCCCTCCGCGTCCTTCCAGGTGGCCGGCGGTATGGGCCGAAGGCCCACTAGAAATTTCAAGGGTACCCCGAAAAATGCTTAGTGCTTAGCACGTCGTGCACCAGAGTGGCAGGGCGGCACATTGACGACGCTTACGGCGAATCACCGCCGCCCCCTGCCTTTTGCAATCGCCCATGTGGCCGAACGTTATGGCCAGAGCTCAGCCAAGCTATCTGATCGTGTGTTCCCCAAACCGTTGTGGAAACCTTGCGGGGAAAGGGAACATTTGGGGGAGGGTGGCGGGAAAGATGGGAGGAGGAGGAGGAGGAGGAGAAGGTGGAGGAAGAGGAGAAGGAGGGGGAGGTGGAGGAGGAGGAGGAGGAGGAGGAGGAGGAGGAAGAGGATGCATCTTGGGAGCCTCTGGGGGCATTCTTGGGGCCTCCCGGGAGTTTCCTGGGAGTCTCTTGGAGGCATTTTGGAGGCCTCTTCCTTGGGCCTCTTGGAGGCCTTTGGGGGCTTCTCTGCGCCGATTTGGGGCCCTCTTGGGGTGCTCGAGGGCCGTCTTGGAGGCCATCTTGGGCGTTTTGGGGGCCTCTCGGGGCACGCTTGGGGCCGTCTTGGGGGCCTCTTGGGCCGTTCTGGAGCCATCTTGGAGGCCTCCTGGGCGATCTTGGGGAGCTCTTGGGCCATCTCGGGCCGTCGGAAGGCCGAAAAAGCAAATTCCCAAATCCTTCAAAACCAATTGAAAATCATTGATTTTGACCTCTTCGAGCCTTCCTGGGAGACCTCTTGGAGGCCTCTTGGGCCGCCTTTGAGGCCTCTTGTGGGCCTCTTGAGCCGTCTGCCGTCATCTTGAGACCATCTTGGGCCGTCTAAGAGGCTTCTTAGGCAAACTTGGAAGCAGTTTGGACGCTATTGGGCAGCCGTGGAGGCCATCTTGGGCCATATGAACTTCGTGGGGTTCCCGCAGGCGGACGGCGGTCGGAAGGTGCCGTCGCTGCCGCCGCGGGAGGCCAACCTGGTCGAGCGTGCAAATCGTCTTTGCGGGGTCCGACCCTGCCAGCCTGCAGCGCGCGCAGTTGAAGGAGCGGGAAAAGCGTTTGCAGCCACCTCTGGGTAAGCCTTCCGGGTGGCCGGCGCGCTAGGAAGAAGCCCCAGGGGGAGAGGAGGAGGAGGAGGCTTCTTTTGCCTCTCCTGCCACTTCCCATCCTTCCCCTCTCACTCGTCGTACCTTCTCTCCCGCCTCGTGCCCCTCCTCCGCCTGGTCCTCCTCCCCTTCCTGCTCCTCCTTCCTCCCCTCCTCCCCCCTGCTCCCCTCCTCCGCCTACCACATCCCCTACCCCTCGACGACGACGACGTCGATGTCGATGTCGATGTCTCTGACGCCGCCGCCGGAGAACCTCCTCGGCGCGGCCTACATGAGCCCGTCGGGCTACCACGGGGCAGGCCGACGGGCTTCTCTCCCGCCAGGGCCCTCCTGCAGTCCAGGTTGGTTAGTTGGCCGACCCCGCCAAATTTCAGGGTACCCCGGTATCCTGTGCTTCGCGACCCATGCCCACTTCATTCCTGTGGCAAGGTGGCCCTCGGAAGGGTCGTGTGTCCTCTCGCGTCTCCTCTCCAATCAACCTCGACTCTGCCTTTTGCCGGGGGCGCGCCGGCCCCTGCGTAGCGGCAGCCTCGGCTCGTGGGCGGCGGTTTTGTTGCTCCTCCACGTGGGGAGTGGGGGGACGGTGCGCAGAGGAGCTCCGCTTGCAGCCAATGAGAGGTCAGGGGCAACGTTGCTGCAAGGGGGTATGGGCTCGGAGATGGATGCATGGACCCCCCCAATTCGGCGTCACCCCAACATACTGATACTATGTGTGCGTAGTCCCCCCTCCCCCCCCTAAGGGGGGCGACGCGCGCGCCGAAAAGTCTTATGGTATATCACCGTTTGCGAGTAGGCACTTTGCGAGTAGTGGAACGCGTTTGCTTATTGTATGCTTCGTGGCGGGCGATTTCTGGCCATACCGCTCGGGAAGACATATACTACAATATGGTTGTACTATTATATGTTCGGGTCGGACGCACGCCTCTAAGGAGGACACACTGAACTAGTATGTACTTGTGCGTCCCATCCATTCGCCCATGAATCGCTGATCGGGTGCGATATCCCCACCTCGCCCTGGACGTTGCGGATCCGCTATCGGGGGCCTGTCGCCGATCTAACGGCGATGTATCGCCGATCCAGGTCGATGGTTCCCCCCGCTGGGCCAGTGCCCCTCCTGTATCGCTGCTCCAGGGGCGGCGCTTGAGGCGCCGTCAGGGGGGCCCAGCGCAGATCGAGCGCCGAAAGTTTGTGCTCATGTCGTCTTTCCTTCTTCAAGATTCCTGTCCTTGCGGTTCCTATGGAACGGGGTATGGTGGTCCCAGGATTTCCAGGAGAGGAGAGGGAGGGAGGAAGGGAGGAGAGAAGATTTGGGAAGACGGATGCGGGAGAGAGAGGTGGGCTTTGGGGCACCGCTCGGGGCGGGAGAGGGAGGGGAGGGGTCGAAGGCGCAGGGTCGCCGACCCCCCTCCAGCGGTCGCGGGCGGGGATATTTTGGAGGTTTGGGGGGGCTTCTTGAGGTTCGGGGGAGCCTTCGTTGAAGGGCCTTGATTGCCCAGAGAGTCACTCAGGCGATCGCAAACATGGATTAAGGGGGCGTGGAATAGCGACGGGTCCCGTTTCCCAGGAAGTCGCGGGTTTCCGTCGCCGCCGGCCGCATTGTGGGGAGGGCAATTCCCCCGATCCATGGATTTGGCGACCGCGCGCCAAATCCATGGGTCGCTAATCCATGTTTGCGCGCCCCCGAGTCACCAGGCGGAAAGCATCAGCGTTCAGGATCGGAATATCAGCACTAGGTTTCAGATGATACGCTCGGCGACGGATTGGGTAAGGTTCTGTAGTGTACTCATTGATCCTCCTCCTCTTCCTCCTCCTCTTACCCTTCTTCGCCCGACTACGGTGGACAGACAAGTCTAGGCTCAGCACCCGGTGCATCCTCACTCTGAAATTCCCCTCCGGAGTTGTCTCCCCCAGCGGCACTTCAGGGACAGAGTCTGCAGTAGGCTGCTACTTGGCTGCTGATGTGAGAACGCTCGCTTGCACCGTCTAAGAGTTGCCAAGTTTTGACGTACGCTACATGTGGAAGGTACGCGTGGGAAGCTGTGCTGAGACTCGCCAAGCTATGGACCCTTCCCCTCCAGCCAGCGCGCTGGCCCACCAGAGAACGAGAGTTGCCTTGGCTTCTCTTTCAGTCAGGGTTCGAACGCTACAGACAGAGTTTGTGCGGTTGGTGGCTGGACGGAGCCTTGTGCTCAGCATGACCCCCGCCCAATTCGTGCATCTTGGAGGAAGGGGGTACATGGATCGGCTGCTGCTCGTTTGGGCTTCAGCATGGCTGGCTTTGAAGCTGCTGCAATCAAGAAGGCGAGTTGCGCAAGCGGAGGGTCCATCCTAGCGAGGGAGCAGAGGGAGGAGGGAGAGAACGAGCTGGGTGTGCGAGGTTTGAGCGGGGTTCTAGAAGTTGTTGGTGATGTTGCGGATTTATCGGCGACGCCTGCGGCGAACCACCGCTGCCCCCTGCCTTTGGAAGACGCCTGTGTGGCCAAACCGCGTGGTAAAGTTTGGCCAGGGTATTGGAGCATGTGTTCCCCCAGCTGTTGTGGAAACTCTTGGGGGAACACTTGGGGAAGAAAAAAGAAAATGAGCAGGAGAACAGCCAACTGACGAGTGTGCCGTATCTTGGTTTCTGGCTCAAGCTCTTCCCCCCAAAGCCCATATTGAGGGGCAAAGGTGATAGTCGAGGAGGCGGCCAATTCTCTCATTACTTCCACTTCGGCCGCCATCTTCTCCTGGGCCAACCGCATCCTTTGCCCCGACTGCCGCCCGGTGGTCAATTGCGATTGCCTGGAGTGCCCGACGGTGACTTGCGGTGACGTGATCAAGCGGGAGGCGAGCGACTCGTCATTGCTGGGGCCCGCGCTGTGGTGCTTGCTCCTGGTGTGCTTCGGTTTCCTGCTGGGGCGCCTTCCCCCTGCGGGTGCCTTCGCGGCCCAGCGCGCGCCGCGAGCCCCTCGGGCATCGGCGGCGGAGGAGATCGAGGTGGCGCCGATCGCGGAGCAGGCTCGACTGCAGCTGGAGGCGTTCGCGCTAAAACGGCGGAGTTCCGGTGGCCCCCTTAGCCTGCGATGGCGGCCGTGGTGGCCGGCCCGGGGGCGCACGCCATCCTTGCCACCGATGACGACGATTACGACGAGGACGCTTCCGTGGCAGCGGACATCTTCGAGGCGGCGCGCTTGCCCCGCGGCACGCAGGGCGGCGCGCCGCCGCTGATCGGCGGCGCGGCGGCCCCGGCTCCAGTGCACCGCTTTCGCGCCCTGCCCTTGCCGGCTCGGCTGGCGGGCGCGCGGGTTGCCGGTGCCGCGCGTTTGGGCTTCGCGGTGCCGGTTGGGTTTTTCTTGCGGAGCGTGGCCGGGCGTCCGCTCTCGGTCGGCGTTGGGACCCCTGTGTCAGCGGGGGGCCTCGACGAGGAGGGCGACTTCTTTGGTGTGCGCTACGGCGCGCCTGGGCCAGTTCTGTAGCACGAAAGGGTTGCGGTCTTCAAGCCTGGCCCGCCGCCTGCTGCGGCCGCCGCGCACGCTGGAGGAGGGCGCGCCGCCCTGGCTGCTGCCCTCGGTGGGCCCGCCGCTGCCGTCGCCCTCGCGGGCGCTCTGGCGCCGCCCGCCGCCGCGGCCGCACCCGCGCCCGCCGCTGCGACGGCACCCGCCGGTGCCTTGGTGCCAACGCCGCCGCCGGCGCCGCCGCCGCTGGCCCCGCCGGCGGCGGAGTGGCCGCTGGGGCCGCCGTTGGCGGCGCAGCGGCCGCCGTCTCCCTCGCGGCTGGGCCCGCGGGGGCCCCGCCGTGGCCGCGGCTGGCGCGCCCGCGGGCGGAGGCGCTGTTGGGGCTGTGGTGTTCGACCTGAGGGTGCAGCCAGTCGGTGTCGACAAGCAGGGCATCCGCCACTGCGAGTTCAGAGCTGCCGTCTCCACGTTCACGGTCGCTCCGTTCACGGATTGGTGCGCGGGCTCCGAAGTCTCCTCTGGGCGAGCTGTTCATCGTCGCCTGTGGCAAGGCACAACCGCTGGAAAGCGGTGGCTCGCCTGACCGGTTCGGGGCCTCGAGCGGGGGAGCACCTCCGCGCGCGCGCGGCTTTGGAGACGGCTGCTTGCTACGACCAACTGAACATCACGGAGTTTGCGTCGCTCGAGATGCTGGGCCGGTCTTCTCATGCGCACGAAGGGCGGCGCCAAGATCGCACATGCGGCGGCGAGGGCAATTCGCAGGGTCGGACCTCGTCAGAAGCAATGTCTGCGCGGCCCCTGAGCTTCACGACTGGATCGCACAGGAGTTCGCCAAGGAAGTCCCAGCGACGAAGGAGAGGCGCGGGGCGCGGGAGGAGCGGAACGCGAACCGCCAGCCGCGCAACCCCAAGAAGGCAGGGAAGGAAGGACAGGGGTGAAAGGTTGGCCCCCAGAAGTCAATCGATAGGAATATTTCGGGGGACTTGAGACGGGGGTCAACGCAAACAGGGGTCATCGGACAGGCACAGAACTACACTTTGGGCGAATGGATTAGCTGCTTGCGCGGGCCCTCAAATTCCAAACTTAATGTTGCGACATCGTCTTACGTATTGGTTCGTCTGCCCTTCGAGGGGGCCGATCGCGCCTGTCGGATTTGCCGGGGCCTCGACGTCGCTGGCCAGTGTCAGTGTGGAACCAAGACTTGCGCCTCACGAGTGCATTGGAGGATGAGCGCAAGGTGAGTGTTTCAGCTGCGGGGGGACGCGGGCGTTTGCCGCCGCGCATGGGCCAGGGGAAATTGGGATGCGCCCAGGGAAATGGAGGGCGGCAGGTAGAGGAAGAACGGGGGAGGGGGAGGGCAAAGCAACGGGCGGGAATGGGGAACATAGTGACCATGGCGAGATGCTCTGATAGGGGGGGCGATGTTGGCGGAGGCCGCAGTTGGATTTCCTTCGGATAGCCATGGGACGCTCAGACACCTCCGCCCAGAGGCCGGCAGGGGGTTCAGCGGCCCTGGCCTTCCTGACTTTGCGGGCGGGGCGCGACGACGCACCCGACCTGTGCCCCGCCCCTTGCGCTAGGTGCCGGTCTGCGCGCGTTCGCCCCGCGCGAGACATCCAGCGCGTTCAGAACTACACTTGGCCAGGCACTAGGTGTAGTTATGTACGTGCTGGTTTCGCAAGAGACGCCCTCACGAAACGGAGCACTTTTAGAACTACACCTAGCCAGCGGGGCGGGGTGCGCGTCGGGCGCCGCCGCGCGCGCTCCCAACGTGCACCGCGCCCCCGCTTCTAAGTGCCGTTCTGTGCGTGCCCCCTTTTCGCGAAGCATCGGCCGCCCGCGCTGCCCATCGCAGCGGCCCCGCCCCCTGGGCCGCTTCCCGTCGGCATCCCACATCCCTTGTTTCAGCGAAGCCAGCACTATGCCTGGGGGCCTCGACCTCGCGCGGCCCGCTTCCCTCCCCCGCCTGTGCCCCAGCAGCAAATCCGCGATCCGATCCCCTGCGCTTTCGGGTCTTCTTCGTGCCGGATTCCCCGCCCGAGGGTGAAACGCTTGCTCGCGTTATGCTTTTCCTTGCGGCCGCCGCCAAGCCCGGCCGCGAAACAGGGCGATCGCTTCCAAGCTTGGCACGCAGCGTCGTCGGCACGACCGTCGCCTTCCATCGTAGGTCGCGAGGCGGCGCCCGTCCACCCAGACCGACCGACGCGCCAAATATAATGATGATTGCCACCCTTGGATCCCGCAGCAAGGTGCAGTTTTGCTGCGTGTAGTTGTAGATGTTCGAGGTCAGCCAGGGCACCGGATCTGGCAGGATCTTGCGAAGACCCCCCCTGGCTGACCCGGGTCATCGATCCGCAGGTGGCCGCGAGGTGGCCGCGCGTATTGGCTGGCCCGGGTTTGCGAAGTCCTGCGTTGCAGGTTTTGTCTCCTGCGTTGCAGTCTTTGGTGCCCTGCTGCCCCGGGCCTGGATTGACCCGGGTCAGAAGATCCCAGAATATTGTAGCTAAGGCCTTGGAATATTGACCAGCAGATTCTATATTATGCAATGCGCAATCGACAAATCTAGAATATCATATTAATGTGTCGATTGCATTCCCCCCCCCAAAAAAAAAAGAAACCGACCACGCGCCATCGCTCTGTCCGTTCTGACCTGGTCGACCAACGAGCTCCACCCTGCGCCCGAATTCCTCGTGGCTGATCTTACCGGAGAGCTCTGCGATATTATTCCCGTACAAAACCCAGATTGAGGCGCGGCCCCGCCCGGGTGGGGACGCCTGGCCGGAGGGGGCCCGCAGTTCCCAGAGGCGGCGGGGGGCCATGCTTGAGGATTCGGGAAGGGAAGTCTCCCAGGAGGGCCGGGGCCATTGGAGGCTCATCAACGCCCTGCGCGGAGGAATTCACACCTCCGCACGCGGGTCGCAGCGGTGGGGGGTGATCGGTTACGCCTGATGGAGCTGGACTGGCGGGGGCTAAGCGGGCGGCCTGTCGACGACGACATCTACCGAGATGCGACCCGGGCCGGGGGGGCAGCCCCCCCGCGCGCCCAACCGCTTGGCGGCCGAGATCGAGGGGGGGAACAGGCGCGGCTGGACGGCTGGGCCGGGGGTCCGACGGGGCGCCCATCCAGCAGGCGAAGCGCCGCGGCCAGGATTTATCCCCTACTCCGAGGTTGTCGACTGCGCCTGTCGGGCTCTTCGGGTCTGCGTGGAACGGGCAGCGGTAAAGGTGGCGCACCTCCGCCGGGAAGTGGACGGACGCGGAGGCGCCCAGCTGCCGCGTGCCACGTCCAGATGTACACGGGTACTTCTGCTCGGGCCTTCCTCGACTTGGCGGAGGGCCGCGCGGCGTGGGGCCCCTTGCTCTGCCTCCTCACGGGGGTGGGGCGGCGGGCAGTGAGGTGGCGCCGGGGTTGCTGCCTGGCGCGGCTGGATCGGGGCTGCTGCCGCCTTCCTTTAGCAGGGCCCCCGCGCGCCCAAACGCCCGACCAGCCCCCCCGACGCTCGGCCAGGCCCCGCCAGCGAGGACGCGGGCTGGAAGTGGTCGGCCGGGCGGATGCACAGGGCCCGTTCCAGCGCCCGCAGCGCTGGGGAATGGTCGGAATGGCAGAGCCCGCGCCATTCCTTTTAGAGGACGCCCTGAACTCCGACGCGCGGGGCTGGCCCAGCAACGCCGACGGGGCCTGGGCTTAGTTGGCCCACCTTTGCCGCTGACGCGGCTCCGTGTACCAGGCCGCCCGCTGCCAGTTCTCTGGGCGCCCGAAGTGGGCGCTGAAAGAATGGGCACTATGCCCAACAGCAGTTCCTGTTCATTCTGAACAGGATTCGCTGTCCACGCCGCCGCGGCCTGTGTCCGTTCGAAACAGGAGGCCGCCTGCCCAACAGCGGCCGCTGTTGGTTTGGGACAACATTTGTTGTTGGACATGGTACCCATTCTTTCGGTGCCCATTTCGGGCGTCCAAAAGTTCGACGCGGGGGGCAGACCGCCGCCGCTGGGGCATGGCGCAGGCGTCGGGGGGCCGAGGGCGAGCCAGGCACGGGGCCCGGGAGGGGGGAGCGGCCGGCCGCGCACTCCAGAAGGGCGCGGCGCCCGGCCTCAGACCACCCCAGCCGGGCGCAACCCGCGAAGGCCCCCGCGCAGCACGCAAGCGCGGAGGGGGGCCACCCGTGGAAGCTATGGAGGAGAGGCGAGGAAAGGCCCCCACGGGCGGGGCGGCGGCCGCGACTCCAACGCCCCAGCGGTCGCCCAGCCGGGAGCTATAGCCCCCAAGCAGGCCGGGGCCAAGTCCAGGGCCGACCTCGCGCCTGGGGCCCCACGAGGCGGGCGAAGGGCGGGGGGGGGGGGGGGGCCGAGCCGACGAGCTTCCAGGAGAGCCGACCGCGCTCTCAGGCCGCCCCCCCCTCCCCCCCCCCTCCCCGCAGGCGGGCGAGAACGCCGAGGGGCGCAGATGCCGCGCGCGGGTCCGCGAGCTGGAACTCAGCCCCCACATCCCGATCGCCCGACGCCCGCGGAGGCCCGAGGAAAGGGGCGCGCTCGCGCAGACCCGCCCATCGCAGGACGCAGGGGAGTGAGCCTGCAAGAGCCCCCCCCGCTGCACCCCGCCACGCGGCCCGAGGGGTCGCCTCTCCTCCAAGACCAGCGGCGCCCGGCGGAGAGGCAGCTCCAGAGCAGCCCCAGCTCACACCCGCAGGCCAGGCGAGAGGGGGGCCGCGCCAGGGGGCCCGGCGCTCGCCCTTCGGCCGCGGGACCTCTACGCCGAGGACGGACACGCGGGGCAACCCCATGTGGGCAGCCTTCCCCATGCTGGCCCCCGCCCCGCCGGGCAACTGCCCGTCCTAGCCCGCGCCGAAGGCGAGCTGGACCGCTACCTCTGGGCCCGGGATCGCCCGGCGCAGCGGCGCGGGCCTTCGGCTTGGGAAAAGGAATGGCTGAGCGGCGGGTCAAGGGGCAGGCCGCGGGGCGCCCGAGCCGGGCGGACCTGGCTCCGTCTCTCCGGCCACGCCCAGTAGTAGTTCTGGCGGAGCTGCAGACCACCAGGGGAGGGGGGGGGGCGGGCCCAGCGGGGTTCCGCACCCCTGCACGGCCAACCCTCCGCCCTCCCCCCCCCCCCCCCGGGCGGGGGCCGGCTCGCAGCAGCCCGTGGCAGCGGCAGCTCCAGCCGCGCGAATGCGCCCTCGACTCCCAGATCCACGCCGCGCGACTGAAGATCGAGACGGTAGTTTTCGTTCACGTTCCCGGCCTGCGGAGGCTGTTTCCCGGCCCTGCATGGGGAAGGGGCGCCCGTTTTTTTATCGACGCAGCCTAGGGTTGCGAGACCTTCCGAGTCCAAGTGGGGGCGAGTCGGCTGGGCCAGTTGGGGAAGGAGCTGCATTCGCTGCCCCGAGAAGCAATGCCCCCGGCCTCGACGCGCGCGCCCAGGGCTGGGCATCCCTTCAGCAACGGGATCGCATGCGCCGTCGCCGCTGGGGCGCACGGCCGAACGCCCGACCGCTCCAAGCAAGAGCAC